ATAATTATGCAATAAGATTGATTACGAGTAACAATAAACAATACTAGGCATAAATAAATTATCGAAAATGGAAAGCGATATAATAGAAACAGGAAAAAACTACTGAATATAAAACATTAAAACAAAATGAACAATAAAACAAAGGTGCGTGTAAATAAACCGAGTCGCGCCTGAACCGCGCAAAAAACCAGCCAGTGTCGTGTCCATATAAATCTAAAAAAATAAGGTCGTTGTTGGCGCGACTTGCCATGTTTATACAACCTTTCGATATTCTCGTCAGTTTCAGATGTATTCGACAATCCATTTGTTGTAGATCCTCCGACGAGCGATACTTGTGCCGCGTTTGAAAATCCACATTGGATGCATCTGAGATGTGAATTTTTTATCACGTGATAGAGAATTAGATCTGAATGTAGATGTAATAAACAAACGCTCTAGACTTTATTTGGTCTCGTGATAAAATGTCAATGACAAGTTAGAAGTTTATACTTATTAAATTTGACATTTGAGACTACAAATCAACCTAAATTTGAAATATAAACAAAAATTAAACAAACTAATCACTTTTATATTCATGCTAGCATAAACAAAGGATAAATTGACAAACAAGGCTTCACAGAACACTTACTTTATGGCATGGAACGAACATCTCATTCACATCCACATACTATGATTACTATACGGTGCAAGAGAGAGGTCCGACAGGCCCAACATAGGGCGCGGCCATTTTGATTCCTATGCCACAGTTTATAGCTAAAGAATCAGATCGCTCACTCTGCTTTGGCACCTTTGATCTCAATGTTCCAGTTTATACACTGCGCAACTCGGATAATACAATATATGACAACCGCCTATAATAAAACAGCAGTCTTCTGCGTATCCTGAATTTGTATCCCGGGAGTGGATGTTATTTTGGAACTTTCAACTGGTCCGAGTGAGCTAACTGATTCTTTAGAGCAATAAACTTTGACTCCAAAAATAATACTCACTGACACTGACAGCAGCAAGCAAAATATCAGGTGCGTTTTAATCATCCGCTTCTGCTTCCGGAATTGTCGGTTTAGTCGTTTTAACCTGTCAGATAAAAACAAGAAAACCGACAATTCCGAAGCAGAAGCGGATGATTAAAACGCACCTATTAAAAATATTGCGCCAAGATGTAGGCAACACGTAATAAGGGATCAAAATGGCGGAGTTTTCTATCTCCTTTTAAAAGGCACTCAGAAAGCTGCGCAGTGCGACCATTCTCCGTTTAGTAAAAGAAAATCAAAGTATGTGTTCACATCTCATTTCAAATCGAGATGTAAAAAATGTAATCTGAACAGGTACATCTGGGATAAACAAACGCAGATGTAGATGTAGTAGATGTGTCCGATGTGGATAAAAAAAAACGCTCGAGATGTAAAAAATGCATCCGATGTGGATTCTCAAACGCGGCATTGGTAGAGTCGAGAGCGTCGAAAGAAGGAGGAGTGAGAGATTGCTAAATGTTTCGTTCCGGCATAGGCAAAGCAGGCTCGTATATTTGATTTTGTCAGATCTGTATACTTTATTGATGTTGATGACGACATAAATAACACATAATCAGTAACATTATGAGCAACAACGTCATACATGTATGAGTATATTATAACACATACAATCATTCAGCTATTACTATATCATTTTACTTTTAATATTTTTAATAAATGGAAGTAATACCCCGCTGATTTTATTTATATTTATTTGTCAAGCGATTTAAATGAAATTTTGGAGAGACATTTTACACGAAATTCTATATTCTCTTTTATTTTTACATTTTTTTTATCTAAGCTGATTTTCCGAGAAATTTTTTTTAATTATACCATTTTTTAAAAAACTGGATTTTAAATAAAATAGATACTGAAATTACCTTAACTATCTTTAAATTCCAAATTTCTACTCTTTTTCTATTAAAAGGAATCTATTCTCTTATTCTTTACTTGATTTTTATTTCTCCAGCGATATAAATGCAGTGTTGTTCCTAGGGATTTTTGAATTGTACACTTTTACGTTCTGTATAACCACTAATTAGTTTACTACTTCCCGATGCTTAAAATTCTTCTTTTTTCCAGTTTAAAAAATGTTTTCGATGTAAAATGGTGTACTGACTGGTCGCGAATGGCGCCAAATTCAAACATTATTGTTTTATTAATTTTAATGTATACGATTTACGATATACCAGATTTTACATAAATATTTAGCAACTTCAAATTGTACATTTCTACCTTTTTTCAAAAGTGCGTACAACCACATAACTGATTGTACAACTTTTTGTACAATTGTACAACCAGGAATAACACTGTATAAATGTATTTTGTTTACACATTTTATGCGATATTCTAAGGCACAATTGCAATATTGTGTCTTAAATATTGTTATATTGAAAAATACGTATTTTTACTTTCCTATCTGTATACAGATATAAGGAAAGTATAGGAATCATGATTTTTTTCGACCTCGAGTTTTCGACGGATTTTTACGTTTTGAGGTCCCCTGAATCCGTTTTGACTATTTTCGCGATGATGTCTGTGTGTGTGTGTGTCTGTGTGTGTGTGTGTGTGTGTGTGTGTGTGTGTGTGTGTGTGTGTGTGTGTGTGTGTGTGTGTGTGTGTCTGTGTGTCTGTGTGTCTGTATAACGCATAACTCATGAACCGATACACAGAAAAACACCAAATTTTAAACTTAAGCTTTGTTTCAGCGTCCAATGAGCTGATTAGATTTTGGGCAGAGTCGGAACATCTGGGGGGGTACTTTATAGGTGGTCATTTTTATATTTTATGGAATATATCTGTTATTTACGTTTGGAGAAGAAAATTCTTCAAATAAAAGTTACTTCTTATATAATTATCTATAATTTTTGTTTTATGCAAAATTTTCCTAAAAAGGTCCGTATTCGAGAAATTTGACAAAATGTAAAAAAAAATAATTTTTTATAAAAATTGTTCAAATAAAAGTTGTTTGTAATATAATTTTCTATAATTTTTGTCCTATACATAATTTCTCTAAAATGGACCGTATTCGAGATATTTGGGAAAATGTGTAAATTTCGAAATTTGAAGAAAACTCAAAAACGGATAAAGGACAAAACATTAAATTTTAAACTTAAGGTTTATTTCGGCCTGACGTGAAATGATTAGATTTTGGACAAAGTCGGAACATCTGGGGGGGTACTTTATGGGAGGCCGTTTTTATATTTTATGGAATATATCTGTTATTTATGTTTGGAGAAGAAAATTGTTCAAATAAAAGTTACTTCTAATATTATTATCTATAATTTTTGCTCTATGTCAAAATTTCCTGAAATGGTCCGTATTCGAGAAATTTGACAAAATGTGCAAAATTCTGATTTTTTATGAAAATTGTTGAACTAAAAGTTGTTTGTGATATCGATTTCTATAATTTTTGTTTATACATGATTTTTCTAAAATGGACCGTAATGGAAAAGTGCTAAATTTAAATTTTTCTGTATTTTCGTTTTCAATGAATATCTATAGAAAAATGTTTCGAGGTAGATGTATGTGGAAAATGTATATATTTAGTTTATCCTCTAAACATTTATAGAGATGCTGCAATAGGTTGTACAAAATAACCGGAAAATGCCTATAATAACTAGATAGGAAAGTCATGTGTTGGACACATCAGATTTTTATTTCTAATTATACAGGATAGCTCAAAGTATTTCGAGTATATATTTTAATAGCGATAATGTGGATTGGATCAGTTACGATTGTGGTAAATAATTTAAAAGTATTCGAATGCCGAAAAAAGTATTCGGTATCCGGATACTTACAACTTTGGTCACGGATACCGGATACAAAATTTGAAAAGTATCAGGATACAGCTTTCGGATACACATAAAGTATCCGGATACAGAAGTATTCGGATACTACCCAACTCTGAGCCATTTTAATTTTAGTATTATTTTATTCAATTGTTTAAAATAAATTTCATAATTTGAACTATTTTTAAATATCCACCAAGAAAATTGGTGAAAGGAGGTTTATTGAAGTAGGAAAAAACAATATATCTTTAATTACCTATGCCCCATGCCTATACCATATTATTATACCCTATACCACCTACACCTACACCATATACCCTATACCACTGATCTGTATTATTTTACTGGATAGGATATAGACTATATTTAACATACTAAACATCCGTTCCACCAAGGAGAACGGAAGTGCAACACTGCTGGCCGATTTGGGCAAATTATGGTGGGATCACATAACTGAATTTTGGGATAATTTGACATACCTAACCTATAATTTGATTAGTTTTTCTTCTTATTCTTCTTCTATTCCTTTTGCGGTCAATGTCCTTCGGGACAATTCACCCATAATTTGTTTTTGTTATGAAAGAAAATATAAAAATGGAAACGTGAAGCATATTGTGTCTTCACGAATGAACGTTTATTGTTTATATCATAGTAAATGCTATTCGATACTACCTAAATAAATAAAAAAAACATCTCATCGTTACTTGTTGACACAATTAAATGACAAATGTGATGACAAATGGAAATAGAGGTTATGTTAAATAACATCCGGTCCGCCATATTATTTGCCCAAATCGGCCAATTTTTCGAAACGTTTTTTAGGGGGCTATATCCTATCCAGTAAAATAATACAGATCAGTGCCCTATACCCATACCCTATACACATACCCCATGCCTATACCTATATCTCTTAGTTAAATGTATTTAAATAAAAATAATTCTGATGCCTTGGTAGGATTCCCCACTCGATCTTTCACTGTTGGGTTCTAATTAAAAGTACTGTTCCTAAAGTGGCGCTGGGAAACAGTAACAAAGCCTACACAGAACACGAGGCTAATAACCTTAGTAGTTGATGGCGATGACAACAAATTAAAAAAAGAAATAGTATTAACTTTTTAATTTTAGATTCATTTAGTAATTTAAAAAATTGTAAGTTATTATTGTGTACCTATGCATACTCTCAATAAAATACATTAAGTGTTTATAATAATTTATTTAAAGAATAAAATCCATTTTCTGTTCTTACAAAGCTCTTCAATTAAATCAGTCATATGTATATGACGAAGCAAGTTCGTTTGATCGTGATTGTGTCATGGCAGATATTTAACGTTTTAAACATAAAAAAATAATAATTGTGTTACTATTTCCTACATAATTATTATATAATTTAATATATAATTTTTTTTATACAATAGGCAGGCAAATTTTGCCGCAAAAGAAAATTTTATTTTGGTTTTCAACAATTTCTTTAAATATTATAATGTAAGGATGATTAGTTTCATATTTTTGTGAGAAAGCTTTCTGTCTTGAACACATTATCCTCCTAGCTTTCATACCTGAAAAGTGTTGCATATAAAACCTAGTACATTTTGTCCAATCAAAATACTAACGTTTATTGCCAAAGAAAATAAAATCAGCACAGCGAATTGCATAAAAATATATTTGTTTAGTTGTTTTTCAAAGAAATTAAATAGAGTTATATCACTGTACCCAAATATGTTTTAAATTTACCTGTGGAATTCTAATATTATCACTATCATATATTTAGCTTACAATAAATCTTAACCTATACCTGCATAACCTCTATAATTTTAAGATTCAAAATTTCTAAGTTGGGCAACGTCAATATTATCTAGGGATTTTTAGGTAATATGACTTTAGGTCAACTACACATATACAACTACTTCATCGAAAATCGAAAGCTATCTTGCTGTTAACTATAAGACAGAAAGACATACAATCTGATATTAGGACAGTGAATGAGTGACAGATCTACAAAGTCTAAAGTTAGAAGAGAAAATCAATTTTGCTAAGGTGAATATTGAAAATATTAATCGAAAATTAACTAACAGGTTAATAAATTAGTGGCATATATTCGAGATACATGACTTCAAATAAATAAAATAACTTTTAGGGTACGTAATATATTAAAAATATAGATTTTAAGAGTAGAATATGAAGAAGATGAAGAAATAAGAACAGGAAGACGAAGAAAAAGATAATGATGATTAAACAATTTCTATTAACGATGGAAAGTTTGTAACATTCATTCCGTTTCAGCTACGATTACAAAATTACTTTAATGATCTCGTAGGTTATGCTCTCATATAAGATTTTCACTACACCTTTAAAATGGCGCCTCGTCCACATATTATACCTACTATTAGGCATTCCAAACAAAATTATTGCCCGATGAAGATAAGTTCGTAAGTTGGATAATAATATCCGAAAATCAGGTAAAATCCATTGGCAAGACTGTTACCGTAATTAAACTAGCAATCCCAGCGGATTTTTATTCGTACCTCAATCAATTTTAGCCACATTTTGTTTTGTTTTTAAATGAGAGTTGGTTCACATTATACTCCGCCTTGATTCATTGTAATAATCTGAACTATACAATTTACTAAATTATGTAATTTTTAATGAACTTCTCAAGAAAATGTCCAACAAGTAAGAAAAGTTTTGTTGTACGTCATTTTAAAGTTATCTTAAAAATACTATATAGGTGTATCTATACGATTCATGCACTAAACGAAATGAATGACAAACAGCATAATATATCCCAATTAAAACAACGTGTCCTTCAGTAGATCACCAAAGCCGGCATGCTTTCTATCTTCTATCTTCGTATAATGTTATGTCTTTACTTAGCTCCCAACCTTTTTTTCCAATATCTTCAATTTTACGTCTATTACCTTCTGTAGACAGCTCGTTACTGAATATTGATTACGATGGCGCATACTTCTTGGTATTGTTGGTATTGATATGGAGGATTTAACCGCGTCAACTTTTTGATATTTGATGATGCAGTGCTTTCCTTTTTCATGGTACCATTGATATGAATGTTGCCAATTTCGATTCTCATGTTTTTATACATTTGATATTGAATAACGTTTCGAGCGTTCGAATCAGACGAATAATAACGAATATATACCATTGGGTACTTTTGGGAAAGTTATGACATCTATACGATTTTTTTCATTTAAATCAAACGAATAATAACGAAGATATAAGGTTATATCCTTTTCAGACTGCTACTGCGCAGATTTTTTTCATTATATATTACGTCTAAATGAAAGTTCGAATAATGATGTAAATATATCACAGTGTTCTTTTGGTAATGTTACTACACAATTTTTTTCGTTAAGTATGATATCTGAATGTCGATTGTCTTATTCGAATCGGACCAATAATAACGAAAATAGACGTACTATTTTGTAAAATGACGGCGCCAACTCGATGTGGTTAGATGAGATGACATAGCGACATATATAGATTACAGCGTTCACGTGAACGACTCTCTCACTCTTACCCACTCTAATCATACCGACTTTGGTGATCTACTTCCTTCTTTACTTAAAGGAGGATTAGACTGACAGATATAATAAACATGAGAATTTTTGTAGAGAAAACACTGACTGCTATTAGAGTCTAACAAATAACTATTTTGTCTTTTTCACATGGTTACACTAATACTAGTTGGCATAACAATCCTTCCTTTGAACAGAATGTTAATTTCATTATTAACGTTTTCCTTTAAAGTGAAAATAAATGGATGATCAGCTTCAAATATTATTTCATCACGTTGCCATATTAGGCATTTTTTCTTCCTAATCAGCATGCCTAAAAAAATAAACATGGTATTAGTTATTCTATGGATACTTTCGGGAAACGTCGTGCAAACTACTGTAAAAACTCAAGTACTCAAGTTAATTTGTTAATAAATTGCGGTTGGTATAATGTTTATCAATTGATCTAGAATCGAACAAGTAATAATGGAAATATAGGATTAGACCACTTCGATAATGCTACTGCGCATGTTTTTTAAATATTTCATACTGAATGCCCTTTGTAATCGACCCAGTAAAAACGGAGATATAAGTTTATGAGACATATCTGTCTCCTCTTCACCAAGTTACTTGTCTTAAAAAAACTCAATGGTTTTATGTCACTTCTTCAGCTCCTCTTCGTTTTAGAGACTCTTTAACGTCTCCTCTGGTTGTATGTCAGTCCCCTTCTCTTCGTTTTCGAGTCTCCAGAGGCTCCTTCGACGTATCCCCAACCGTCAAGCACGAGAACTCGATTGAACGTAGTTTGGGTTATTACCAAAGTGAGCCAGTATCATTATCATTACATTTCTTTCTTCTACTGAAGAAAAATATTTAAGAGCAAATCGAACACCTTGAAAATTTACAATTCTTCTGAGCCTTTATTTTTAGTCAGATTTTTGTGAAATTTTCAAGAAATACCAACAGTAACAAAACTTAGGGTGGAGAAACCTTGAATTTCTTGTAAACTTTCGAAAAGTATTCATTTTGAAATTTTTTAAAAGGAATTAAAAAAACAATTACGCGCCATTTTGTATTAAATCTGAAAATTTGCTGCTTTTTTTTAATAAATATCTAGTAGTTTTTAAATGGGAAGAGTTCCCACCTTTTTTTCTTAAGCGTCTCTGTAGAGTGCAGTCTTCTCGTTGTACAAATTTAAAGCTTTCAATATTCTCAAGACACATAATTTCACGAAATATTCCCAGTGGCGCGCATATAAATCCAAGTTTATATTAGATAATCCTTAAAACATGTTTGTTTTCCCGAGAGGTCCGGTTTGCTCTCAAGAGTGCTCATAGAAAAACACAAATTCAATTCCATAAGTCACAAGTGAAATCACAAGGAATAAATAAGGTGAAGAACCCTCCTGCACATAACGTTACCTGCTTGCACAGGATCGGCTAAGAAGTTTTACATCAATCAAACAAATCAATGAACATTCAGGATGCTTTTTTTAGGTTAGCAGTCATACATTTTTAAAGGTAATTCTATATAAAAATGGCGAAAAAGGTTCAAATAAACGTGGCTCTGAAAGTTTTTGTTAAGAGATATTCTGATGCCTTGGTAGGATTCCCCACTCGACCATTCACTGTTGGGTTCTAATTAACAGTGCTGTTCCTAAAGTGGCGCTAGGAAATAGTAACAAAGCCTACACAGAACACGAGGCTAATGACCTTAGTAGTCGATGCCGATGACACACAAAAAAAGAAGATATGGAAGTCACAAAATTTTGTCTGTGATCTGACATCTTAGAGGTTTACGTGCAAAATATGGGGTAGTTGGGTTTCATCCCTCACAAAAAATTATGTGCGATCTCTGTAACATTTTGTGAACAGATTAAGTTCAATTATGACTCAATAAAGACATTCAAAAATCAACACCTTTGCCGAAAAAAAAAAAGAAAGAAGAAAGTTATCCTATAAAAACAGTTTAGTTAGTAGATTAGAGTACTAGTACTTTAAACAATTATAAATCCAATCTTGTCCCTCTTTAAGAAATTTCCAAATCCAGCACTGCCTGGAGATCAGTCCTGATCTCTTCTTTTATGGAACAGTTTATATGACAGGGTTCTTTGAATCAGGCAACCAAACGATGGCCTTTGCAGGTGACCTTTCTGATGTAACCAAGAGACGAGGAAAATAAGTATGACAGTAGAATACTCAAATGGTGTCAATAAGCCTCGGTAGAGTTGCCACTCTTGATTCCTAAGGGTTCAGAAGACGGATTACACCTATAGCAGGAGGGTTTGAATAGTAAACAAAATCTTGAGATTAATTATGATTAAGATTTCTCCATCATATCTACGAAAGAAACGGTTTTTTTTTATTTATGTTTCCGCTTTTAAGAAAAACTGTTTATTGTTTTAAATGTCACCTCGTACATATAGTGCGCCTCTATAGGCCAGTGTATCTTTTGAAAAGTTACATGTAAATTAATGTAAATAAATTTATATAGACTTTTCTTGGTAACTGATGAAATAACATTCAAAGATGACGTCACAGAGCTATTTCGTCTTTGCTGGTTATGTAACTAGTTATCACTAGAATTTACTGAACTAATTTACGTATAATCCTTCTAGATATACCCGGAGGGAGAAGGATTTTGTAAGTGCGCTGTATAATATTGTTTCATGCATACCAGTGATTGCAGTTTCAGTATACAGCATGCTTTTAAAATGTAATATAATTGATTAGTCACTATCGAGACTAGGATCTCCATTTAAAAACCTATTATTTTTTAGTCGGATCTTCAAATCATCAGTTTTTGCACCATTAAGATTTTTAACAGAAAAAAACAAGATTTAAAACAAACAAAATAGCCCAAAGGCCTTGGTAAATAATCAAAACATGCCAATAAAAACGTACAAATTATCTACAATTAAATAACACATTTTAATTGATACACATGGATCTACTATAATACATAAGGTTTGCTCAACAACGATAAGAAATCTGTTATTGCCACCAGGATTCTGCGCAGTAGATCATTAGGACCCCAAATAATATACCGCGCAGAATCCTGATACCAATGACTGGTTTCGGATCGTTGTTGTAACAAACCTATAGGTGAGGTTCCTATCTAAATCATGCCAATATACCAAAAAAGAAGAATAGATTCAATCGTGTATTTAGTTTTTTTTTTAATGCATTTTGTACTTATTTAGAATTTGTTTTTTCTATATGAAAGGAATAAATTCGTTATTATGGAAGTAGTTGGTTTTTCGAAAAAATGCTCGGGCAGGTCAATTTTTTTCAATAAAATTCATTTAAAGATCAGACACATATATTTTATATTATTTGATAAAGGCGCAATTTTTCCAAAAGGATTCAAGTTTCCCACACTTCCCATTTTTGAGCAGTGACGTCATTGACAATTTTTTAAATAGATCTTGCAATTTCCTTCTCGAAAAAATAATATATGCAATATTTTACATAACAATATTTTTTTGAATAAAATTCATTTAAAGATCAATACATTTTATTTTATTTTGAGAACACAATGAATGAAAGATAATTTTGTAATTAAGCGCTTAATCTAACAAAATAATAATAATAATAATAATAATAATTCAAAAATATTCTACTAAATTAGGTATTCAAAATGTCCTCCACCGACGTCTTGCCTTTGTATGGTGCTAATGCCAAGGAATACATTCATTATTTCGTAAACCAGTGATTTTCGGGATAAAGTGGTGACGTCATTAATAAAAAATTTTAAATGAAAATGTGTGTGTTGTAATACCTCATTTGAAAGGTCTTTTAAATATCTATTCAGCCATATCAATTGTCTAAGTAATTTAGATTTGAATATTGTAAAAAAATATTTCTTTATTATTTTTAAGTCTTATCTATTTTTTACATTTTCTAAAACGAATCTAGTTACCTCATCAAAATTGCTACCTTGACATTCAACTTAATTCACTTTCTATCAAGTGGTTAATAGTATTGTGGTGGACGTTATCAAAAAGTTTTTGTATTTACCACCATGAAGCTGACTGAAACGCAAAGAATTGAAGTTTTAATAATGATTGGTTGTGAAGATACAACACGTACGTAGAAAGACGTATGTACGTTATTTAATAATAAATATCCAAACCGAGAACCAATTTTACAATCCACTATGAGTAAAATTGAGAAAAAATTCAGAGAAACGGATCATGTGAAAGACATCATTAAAGGTAGTAGAGCCAAATTTCCGAAAACAAGAAACTGGATATCCTGTTAGCCTTTGAAGATAATCCCCATACTAGTTCACGGTGGGCAGCATTAGATAATGACCAGGGAAATTCAACAGTTCTTAGAACGCTAAAAAAGCAAAAGTGGCATCCCTACAAAGTTACTTTAGTACAAGAACTTATGAAAGATCATTTTGATAAACGAGTTGAATTCTGCGAAATTATAATGGAGAAAAACAACAGAAAAAATATACTTTTTTCCGATGAATCTACTTTTTACTAAACTGTCATGCCAATCGTCAGACTTCTCGGCATTGGGCTACCAAAAATCCACACTGGATGCAAGCGTACCCATAGAAAGTGAGTGTTTGTGCGGGAATAATAGATAATAAGACTATTAGGCCATACTTTTTCGAAGAAACCTTAACAGGTCCTCGATATTTAGAATTTTTTCTAAACTTCTTGATCTCCGAATTGAACCGATTGTTCCCAAACAGAAATGATTTGTGGCTACAGCCTCCACACTATGCTGTCTTAGTGAGAAACTACTTGGACAACATCTTCCCAAATCGGTGGATAGGTCGAAGAGGGTCAATAAAATGGCCTCCTAGGCAAATTAGTATTTCCATGTACATCAATAATTTGGGTCAGATGCAGATAGGCTTGTCACCTGTCCTTCTTTTAGCTGAGGTTTTTTTTAAAAGCTCGGTAGAAGGAGCAGGGGTTGATTAAAAAATATGATGAGGACCTTTTTCTTTTTAGAAGTTTGGCAAAATACTTTAATTAGATCCCCTTATTTCTTTTTACAATACATATTTTAAGTGTACGGTACAATTTTAAACGACTTTTGGTATTGATTTTTTGGTGCCCTTATACTTACACAAGTCACAAGCCGCCATTGCTCCTAGGTCACTCGATTTAACTCCTTTTGATTTCTTTTTATGGGGATACTTCAAAAGTAAAGTGTACCAAAATAGACCATAAAATATCAATGATCTCAAAGAACGTATACGTATTGTGATTGCAAACATAACTCCGGAAATTTTGGAGAACGTCCAAGAAGAGATCGCTGCACGTTTTCCCCATTGTATTTTAGCTGAGGGTCAACAATTTGAGCACTT